AGAGAGAGAGAGAGAGAGAGAGAGAGAGAGAGAGAGAGAGAGAGAGGCAGTGCTGAAAATTTGTTGGGGAAATGTATCGTCTGCTGAAAGGAGAATCCTGCTCTGTGCTCGCGCAGGTGGACAGCGCCGCCAAGCTGCCCGTGCTCGTGTTCGTCCACGGCGGCAGCTTCCTCACGGGCTCGGCCGGGGAGAAGAACCCGCAGGCCCTGCTGGACCACGACATGGTGCTGGTGTCGCCTCAGTACCGCCTGGGGCCGCTGGGTAAGGCGTTGTGCAACACCACCACCACGACGACCCCCCGTCTGCGCAGCCCCCCGCTAAACGCATTATTTTGCTCGTACCGACTAGCTACCTTGTGTAACTTCCCTTTCCTTTTCTGCGGCTTCCCTTAACGCAAGTGACCCGGAATTACCCCCGGTGAACCTCTTTTTTTTATCTGTCAAATTTTGTTTGCAAAATTCTGTCCGTCAAATTTCGTACAAAGAATGGAGAAAAGATGTACAACAAAATGTTTTTTGCAGGGTTCCTGAACCTGCAGACCGACGGCATCCCGGGTAACGCCGGCCTCCTGGACCTGGTGGAGGCGCTGCGCTGGGTGCGGGACAACATCGAGCACTTCGGCGGCGACCCGGCCCGGGTGACCCTGGGCGGGCACAGCGCGGGCGCGGCGGCCGCCAGCCTGCTGTACCTCAGCCCGCTCACCAAGGGCCTGATCCAGGCCGCGATGCCCATGTCGGGGTCGGCGCTGTCCTTCTGGGCGTACGACCGCGCGCCGGAGCAGGCCGGCGCCGCCATCACCAGGGCCGCCCTGTGCGGCGGCGACGAGGTGCCCCTCGAGCAGCGCGTCCAGTGCCTCAAGAAGCTGCCCGTCAAACGAATCATCACCTCCTTCCTCTTCTACATTGTGAGTAGAAACAGCAGAGTTGCGACATTTTAGCGATGGGAAAGGGATAACCGAGGGGTGCCCAACTGAGGTAATCAGGTGTACACAGTGTAGGTAATCCCTGGTAATCACCGGTAATCATTGGTAATCGCTAGTAATCCTTGGTAATCGCCAGTAATCCTTGGTAATCGCCGGTAATCCTTGGTAA